ATATTAAATTGGCGCCTATTTTGGGACATAGACATTAAAAACTTTCACAACCCCATTTCTATTTTTAAATAAACGCCTAATCTAGCTAATCCTTCTTCATTATATGCCAAGGAGACATTCCAAATTTGACGCCCAATACTTAATTTTTTCTTTGTTAGTCGTATTGGCTACCAAAATTTTTCTCTGTGTTTTAGGTGGAAAACATTAATTACACACACGTTAGCCAGAGGTCCAGAGCACGAAGTCCAGAGCACAGGAGCCATGAAGAGCCGACAGACCAGAAGGCAAACCACAAGCGCGTCATTACCAAACAGGGCAAACAGGGAAAACAGGGAAAACTGGGAAACCCAGAGATGGAAAATGAAAAGGAGGTTATAGGGCGGAGGCAAAGGGACAGGGAATTGAGAGTGACGCAGGGATGAGGCCAACGGGAATTGGGAATCGTTTCATAGCTCGCCACGTAAAACTCCTGCTGCATTTTATCTGCTCCAGTTGCAACGGAGGTGACGCATTGGGAGCCTCCAAGAGTGAAAGGGACCAACACATCTGTGTGAAAGAGAAGGGGAACGGCCCCGGAGCATATTTACATTTGCTCGGCATTTAATGCAAGTGGGAATTACAAAAGGAGGGCGTGGCTAGTGATGGTTGTTGTTGTTGTTGTGTTTGTTGTTGATGTTCTGGGTGACTCTGCCTCCTGGCAGGCGATTTAAAATATTCGAACCAAGCCGCAGCAAAAAGCCAGGGAGATAGATGGATAGTTAAAAGCAGGAGGGGACAGGCTTAAAAGCATAAACGAAAACAGCATAATATGCCATGCACAAACAGAAATCAGGGACTTTTTTTTTTTTTGCCTTACTTAATTTAATATCGCAAACCTGTTCTACTTATGGTCTTTCGAGCCGTATTAATCTTAAATTAATTATAAGATCAGTTCTTATAAGTTTTTATCTCGATGAAAAAGTAAAGAAATTAAAAAACTTGAGCGTTTGTATAAGTTGTGTCGATATAAACAAATTTTCTCATATTGTTTATCAAGCATTGATAGCTAATAATGATATTAATGACTTGAAAGAATAAATCACACCACAATTTGTCTATTTCTCGCTCTGTAATTCCTGTAGTCGCAGCTTTTCAGCCAGCATTTTACCGTAGGAGCGGTAAACAATAATAACAGGCACCAACAATGAAGCATGATGGCCCTGCGAGGATTACAGGACACATCCATGGGCGGCGGTGAGAGGGTTTGATGAAGAGCCAGGACCAAGAGCTGAAACTGAAGCATCGGGCGAGTATGCGACTAAGTGTTTTGCAACGGAAATGCCGAGCTATCATGCAAAAAGCCACTGTCAGATTAACGAACCATGGCCAAAACAGAGAGGGGGTGAATGGAGGTATAAACGGGGATGAATCGGGGGTGAAAAGGGGATGAAAACGTAGATAGCCTGAAGGTAAATGGCATCGGGAGATCCGCATTTCAGGCACGTGACGCAGCGACAGTCCATGACCAAGTGCTGATTTTTTATCAACCGGAATGCTAGGAAGTGGCAGGAAGAGAGAAAGATGGGCCAACAACTGAACGAAAAACTAGCAAAAAGGTTATTGACATTGTTGTTTCCACACTCCGCCACCCAAACAACTCGCCATCTGAATTTCTGTCTCGTCTGATTCGTTCACTTCAAAAATTCGTAGACTTTCAAGCAAACAGACGGCGAAAAAATGCAAAATGAAAAATGATCTGAAACTGGGAAAAAAGGTGGGTAAAATACTCTTACTTAAAAGATGAATATAAAGATTTAAAGCTTTTAAACTGCACATGGAGTAAGTCATAAATAATGTATTAAAATTTATCATGTAAATATTTTAAGCTAAATTTTCGATTTCCAGGTTGAATTTAGATGCTCCTTAATTTTAGAACTCATAGACAGTGGTGTCTTTGGTTTTGAAACTTAATCAATAGAAATTTATGAACATATGTCAAAGAAATTGTATTTAAAACCCTCAAATAGTTTATTAATCAATGTAATTAAAATATTTAAATAACAAGATTATTTACTTTTACAATTTAAAAAACAAATTCAACTTCATTCAAAAATATTACGCATACGCATTGTTATATCTTCTCTTATGTTTATTGAAAAACATTTCCATAGTCTTTTAGAAACGTGTATATTTTGATGCATATCAATTTTATTTCTAAGATATATTATAAAGCAAGGTCCTAAGTTTTAAACTTGAAGCTTTTACTACTTTCAAATTGTCATCAATTTCTGAAACACTCAAAACAAAAGCTCAATTGTTTTTGATCACCAATAAAATTGCTCACCACCACTCCAGTTGCCGCCCAGCAATCAAAATGCAAGCTTCGCCACTTGTGTGTGACAAAACCCCTTGAAAACATCATTGGATCCTTGAAAGCGGTTCCAAAAACCGCTTAAAAAGCATTGCATACTTGCAGGCGCCTCCTTGAGAAAAACAAAATGAAAAAGCCAGGACAAAAATAAAACAAAACGCTGCACAGCAAAACGGCAACAGAAAAACAAAGCAAAGTCAAGCGGAACGTAACAGAAACTGCGCAACTTATGAAGAGGTGGAAATGCTTTTTAAGTATTAATTTGCGCAAACACTCGACGCAGCAGCAAAAAAGCGAAAAAAGGCGAAAAAAGCGAAGAGGAAAACAACAAAAGAGGCAAAAAACAAGTTAATAAAGCAGTTGCAACTGTAGCACCTCCTCAATTTCAACCTTCTTGTTTGTTTGCACTCAAACTTAAAAACGTAATATTGCAATTTCGAAAATGTTTGGACTTTAAAGTGCAGGCGAAGAAATTATGTAAAATCTCTTACATACAAAAGGATTTTATTTGTCTTAAAGCTTTATTCTTGCTCTTAAAATCGCATTTTTTTGATCAAGCCTCGAGAAAATAATTTGTAAATACTTTGAAAGAATTATAATTACAATTACAATTCCAATTCAGAAAATGTACAGAGATTTTTGGTTCAGCCAAAAAAATTATTAGCCAATTCTAGATCTAACTCTTTTCACTTATTAAAAAATGTAAAATTGTATTGATACAATTTCAATTATTTTTTTTATAACTGATTAGAAAAGGGTAATTTTGTGTATTAAAAATATCAAAGTACTTTATATTTATAAGAGCTCGTATTTAAAGCCAGGCTTTATTAATTTTGTAACTCTAATTATAATAAAAGTACTAAGGGCGCTGTAAAGTGGTAAGTGTAATGTTTAAATTTAATACTTAATTGAATTACTAATGTTTAATAAAGCTTTTTTTTATTATTAAAATTTCGGGTGCCTTTAACTTAACTTATAAATTTGTATTAACTCATAGTTTAATAAATGAATTAAACCTTACTTTTATTTTTAATTTTTTTTTTTTTTGTGCATTCTCTTTTACCAATGTCCCACTAATTGTTTGCAACATGGTCTATCGCTTTTGGGCAAACACCCCAACTGAAAAACATAGGATACCCGCAGGACACCTCCGGTTGAAAGGTTTCCCATCCAATCTCTCCATATATAGAAAGTGCATTTTTACTGTTTTGCGTTAATTGAAAACTTTTTTTGCCCTCAAATATTCGTATTTTTCGCAGCATGGCAGAAACAAAACTGAATTGGAAAACTTTTCTAGTTTTTCCCACACTACACAACGGGGTGGTGTTTGGAAAGTTGTCGTAAGTAGAAGTGCAACTCTGAGTTTTTAACGCTTTGCCGCCTTTCATTTGTTTAGTCTTCCCCCCCTAGAAAGCTTTAAGTTCCAGTGGTATACCACTCCCACCTAAAATACACAAAAAAAAAAACACTATGGAAAAACACCCCAAATTCAGAGCCAGACTTAAGTGTGTTTGTGTTTCCTCTCAGAACTTGGCGGCCAATTAGTTTGTTGCACCGAAATCCCGGGTTAAGTGTGGGATTTCGGGGGCTTCAACTGGTTGTGCCAGCTGTTATGTTCGAGACTGGGACTTGGACTTGGCCAAATCGGAAATCTACTCTTAGCTGTTTGGGCTGCCGCGTTTTTGCTATTGCAAAATTGTCATCAAACGAAGTGAAGGAAGTCGGGGCTTTTTTGCTGGGGCTTTTCTAAATAAAGAAATGTAAAGTAGTTCAAAATTTTGATATATCTTATAATTATTATAAAGACACAATTTAAAATAACTGCTCAAAATATAACTGGAATACATATGTAAATTACCTTTATATAAACGAATTTAAAGTTATTCCGCACAAATCTTAGAAACTAAATGTTAATTTTACTTTTCATGGAACGTTTTAAATTCTTATTAACCATTAATTAGAATAATAGTATGGCGATTAAAAAAACCATATGCCTCTGAATAAAAATGATTCCATATTCTATCTAAAGTCTCAAAATCTATGTTGAAAACCATGTATATTTCATCTAAAGTATCAAGTTCTATGTTGTTCTAAAACAAATCTGTCAAATGTAAAATATAAAAAAATAAACAATTTATTAAAATTACATATTACTGCCTAATTACCATTCAAACATTTAATATTTTATTGACTTTTAACCGGCTTATTAGTTTCTAATTCATCCACAGCAATTCGACTTTAAAGCGCTTTAAAAGCTTTTTAATTCGTCATTTCTCAGTATCTGTGAGCAATCATCAACAATTTCTTCAATGACAACAGGTTTCACGATTTCTGTTGAAGATAAGGAGACTTTGAGAATATTTTAACAGCTTCCTACAAACATTTTAAATGACTCAAGACCTTTGTCGTGCAAATGTTTAATTTGATTGTGTGGCTTTGGGCTTGTATTTTAAATAACAACATTTAAAAACGTGTTCTCTTACAAAAAAAATTGAATTATTTTTTTTTATACTTTGAATATGTTAAATGACATTTAAACCTAATTCCTAAAAAAATTCATAACCTAAGCTTATTTAACCTTTCTAACACTGTTATTTAAATAATTTTGTGTAAATCATTAAGGAATATATAATTTCTGGTTGGTACTCACGATTTCCCTCTGCAGCTTGGCGATGTTGAAGTTGGCCTGGGCCAGTCTCACACTTAAAGTGGCCACATCGCTGGTCAACTGCGCCCTTTCGCCGGCATTGCGATCCACCAGCTTGAGCATCTTGTCCTCCAGACTCTGGTTGACCTTTTGAACCCGCTTGTGCGATTCGTAGAGTCGATCGTATTTATCCTGCCACGCTATAACGCTATCCTCCAGTTCAACCTGCCGTTCCGATTCCCTCAGACAGACCGATTCCAAAGCATATAGTTGCGTTTGCTTCTCGATTAGTGCCTGTTGCAGCTGCTCAATTTCCGTCACTGTGGGGGCGGAAGTTGTCGCCTTTTCAAGGGGCGTGGCTGCCGTTGATATAGTGGATATTGCAGTTGATGTTTCTGCTGGTTTTTTCGGTGTGCCCGCTGTGGTGGCCGCCTGCAAATTGAGTAAATAAACACACAAACACACACACACAAAATGAAATTATGAGCTGCACAAATATTTTGTAATTAATTTTGCTTCCGGGGGAGAGCAACGAACAACGCATACCGGACGCAAAGTGTCACACGCTTTCGATTGCAAAGCCCGTACTGAAGAGCCCCGGACAAAGTGGGATCCGGAGAAGGCTGCTCCGGACAGCTTCATTATTCCACCAGCGGATCTCTTTCTGCTTAAATTTAAAAACAGTATTTTATAAAGCTTTGAGCGTGCCGTGTCATAAAAATGCACGTCATGCCTGAGAATTTTGTGGACAAGCGGAGCGAGGGTCCGACTTAACCCATAACGTACAGCATCTGCAGCTGATAAGGTATTAATAATGGGTTCAGTTTGGGTGAAAGATGGAATACCCTATTAAACAGACCTAATACGCTATCACCTATCTAAAAATATCAACTATTATTTGGTGTTTTATGAATTGTTTATTGATAATGGGTTAAGTTACGGTGGAAAATGGAATACCCTCTTATTAAATAGATACTTTATTAAATAAAGAACGCTATCAGCCATATAAAAATACCAAATATTATTTGGTGTTTTCTAACCTTTTTTAAAATGCCTGTTATATGCCTTCTTATATAGTAAAATATAAGAAAGCATTTTTAGTAACAGGAACTTCAAAACAATTTATAAAAATCTAGCTTAGAATTGGTATTAATCCCACTACAATGTCTAACTCGTTATCTATAAAAATTATAATATCATTTAATTCATAATTTAAAAATTCCTTTTTTTTTTTGTTTTAATTTCAAATTTTTCCTTACATACTTTAAATTTATAAATAAAATGTTAGGACTACATCGGAATTATCTGCATTAGAAATAGCTTAATGCTTTAAATTAATAGTTAGAATCCATATTCCCCACAATTTGGTGTGTAGAGTAGTGTGCATGGATCTATGGCTGTTGACAACTGATAAGCAAAGTGTAACGGTGGATTGTACAGCACGCAAACAGTGGGTTATTCGAAAATCAGAGAGTGTGAAATGAAACAAAAGAGATCAGTTGAAGAGAACTGAAAGAACAGATAATAGAGAGCTTTGGTTCTTGGTTTTGGTTCTTAATACATACCTATATATGTATGCATATGTAAATGCAAAGCATCATTCCACATTATCTGCTAAGTCATAAAGCTTAAATGAAAATTTCATTTTTATCCAAAGACAGTTATTAAAAAAGGAATTTAAAGTATAAACATACAAAATAAAATCAAATATTCATTTAAATGAGCTTAAACTGTATTGCATTCTTTAAGAAATGTTAACAATGTTAACGAAGCAATATCTTTGTGGCCGATAAAGTACAACTTTTGACATTTCCTGTTTGGCTTATCTTTATTAAAAACTACCATTGCCGACACCTATAAAAACCCTCTTCTTGGTTCAACAAATAGTGAAAAAGTTTTCAACCACCAACGAGAATGAAAGTGATTTGGATTTTGAGCTCTTTGCTCCTGAGCGTTATTTGTGGAGCCACAGGAGAGCCTTCAACTACTACCGAGGATCCCATTTCCCAACTAGATAGAGAAACAAACGAAAATATTCAGGACGTCCTTAATAAATATGATCGGTTATGCAGTGATAACCAGGAGTTGTCCGATTGGCTTGACAGCCTTCGAATGGCTTTAAAATTGGACAAGAAGCTTGTCAGCTGGAAATTAAAATCACTAAATGAATTCAATGCATACAATAAGGAGCGTACGAAGCTTGACTCAGCCATCGATGCACGCATAGAGCGTCTTAATAATCTTCTTCCCACTTTCGAACCCGCTGGCGCATGCTCAAAGTTTTACTTAAAACAAAGAGAAGCTCTTAAAAATGCTAAACAGCTTAACAATGTCGATAAATTAAAAAACTTAAACGAAAACTCCAAAGACTGCCGTGACGAACCCGATTATGACAATAACTATAATTATATTTAGCAAGTTCCAACAGTATTATTTTAAATAAGTTAAAAAACCGAAGCATGCATTCCTCTTCAAATAAAAAAAAATTAATTCTAACAAACTTAAAAAAATTGTTTGGTATTTAGAAAAATAAATAAACAAGCAAATATCTTAACAAAATAAAAATAAACTATTTTAAATCTGTTATATTTTAAAGTACACTATAATTATAAGCATTACAAATATTACAAAGTTTTTAGATCCTTTTTTTGATTATATTAAGGCAACATAAAATGTTTCTTTTAAAATTCAACATAATTCAGCATATAAAATAATATTATCATACGAAAAAAAAACTTATTTTAGATATCTGCATATATAAATTACCTAGAAGTTTTTTAGAAGAACCCTTGAACGTGTAAATCATAACTTACAAAATTGATAGCAAAAATAATACCAAACAGAAAAACAAAAGTAAAAATAAATGGCAACCTTAAATTTTGCATCTTTTATCGTTCATTTTGTAATTTTAAAAATATAATTAATTCCTCGGTCATTACAATGTGACTATTGCCTTGATAAAAACTTATAGCACTAATGTGTTGTCACAAATAAATAAATAAAAAATAAATAAAGAGCTTGGCAAATACTTGTTCTTATCACCCAAGTCACGACTCCACCTCGTTCCATAATGCGGTTATCAATTTCAATACCCATCCATCTCCGACTCGTCCAATTTAGTTGGGAATTTCGAATTTAGAAAGAACGGGGGTTTCTCGACGCTGATGGCTGAGTAGCAAAGTGCAAACTACGTTCGCAAACAACTAATTGGATTAACTTGACACAAAAACGAGAAGGAGTTGCACAGCCAGAATGTCGCCAGTGGAAACTTTGTCTTTGGTTACTCCTTCGAATGAATCCTTCGACTCTGTGGGAAAACCACATGGGTTTTCCATTCCTTTCGTCACCATATATGAGAACGACATGAATTGCCGGGGGATTGGGAATGGGGAAAAGTCGCCAGCTCAAACCTAAAAACTGCAAAATGTACAGAAAATTTAATTAAAAAAGGATTTTCGGCCTGGCTGCTAAAGTTGCTTGGCTTCTTCTTCTCCGCTGACTTGGCCTCTTTGGATTTTTCGCAGACAAATAATTTTTCTTCGCACTCCAATTTTGCCGAGAACGCATAAGAAAATTCAATTTATAGTTTATGTGTGGGTGTGTGTGTGTGTGGGCGTGGCAAATTGCCAAAGACAGACAATGCTATTAATTAATTTGGAAAGCATTTTGCCGGATGAAAGAAGGCGGTAACAATTAAAACGGAACCGGTTAAAGTGCTGCTGGTTGAACTTTTTGGGGGGCCGAAAATGATGAAAAATGTGTGTGCTTTTCTGGTCCAGGCACACGTTTTCCCGACATACGATAGTTGTTTTCCCCCCTATGATTTGTTTGCCTTTGGGTCATTAAAACCATTTTCGTGTTCCCACATTTTTCTGCTTTTATGTCGACATTTATGTTAGGTTTTTTGCTTGCGGCTTGTTTTTCAATAATTTAGCAAATGCTTTTTGTTTTGATGCTCAGCAAATGATTTAACATGCCTAACGAGTGGGCTTTTCCGTGTCCTAAATGGCGATTACCTTTTTTATTATCGCATTTTGTTAATCATTTTTAATTGATATTATTACGGATTAAGTTGTAAATTGAATAATGGGCTAGATATTATTTATTATTTTCACTTTAGTGTTTGTAAATTTTTTGAGAACGATTTTAATTTTCCTGTCAAGTTTTCAATTTATACTGTCACTTATTTTGTTATTATTAACATAAAGTGACAACTTAATCGTTTAATAGGCTTTAAACATAATATAGACCATAACCATAAATCAGAGCAGGGATAAGATAAATTTCAAGCGAATAAAGTACATTTAAATTACTTAAAATGATTTTTCTGTTTTGGTAATACAAAAAACAAATCTTTAATAATAAAAAAACAAGAAAGAAAGCAAACTTCGGCAAGCCGAAGTTCATATACCCTTGCAGCTATCGCAAGAATTAAATATTTTTGAAAACATTAAAATTATGATTTACTTGCGTATTTAAACCATGATTCTGAAATATTTAACCATTGCTATATGTCGAAGAACTAAACAAAAAATTAAAAAACAGCAAAGTTATAATTTTTTTCAATTATTTTTCCGATTGTTCCTATGGGAGCTATATGCTATAGTCTTCCGATTTTGATGAAATTTTAACCATAATTCTGAAATATTTAACCATTGCTTTATGTCGAAGAACAAAACAAAAAATTAAAAAACAGCAAAGTTATAATTTTTTTCAATTATTTTTCCGATTGTTCCTATGGGAGCTATATGCTATAGTCGTCCGATTTTGATGAAATTTAAACCATAATTCTGAATTTTTTAACCATTGCTATATGTCGAAGAACTAAACAAAAAATTAAAAAACAGCAAAGTTATCATTTTTTTTCAATTATTTTTTCGATTGTTCCTATGGGAGCTATATGCTATAGTCGTCCGATCCGGCTCGTTCCGACTTATATACTACCTGCAATAGAAAGACAACTTTTGGGAAAGTTTCATGCAGATAGCTTTAAAACTGAGAGACTAGTTTGCATATAAACGGACGGACAGACGGACAGACGGACGGACAGACGGACGGACAGACGGACATGGCTAGATCGACTCTACTAGTGATGCTGATCAAGAATATATATACTTTATAGGGTCGGAAACGTCTCCTTCACTGCGTTGCAAACTTCTGACTGAAATTATAATACCCTCTGCAAGGGTATAAAAATATTTTTAAAAATTGAAAATAATTATATAGCCCTTACTAATAAATTTCAGCTGGTAAAACGAAAATTAATAAAATATGATACCTATTTATGATACAAGTTCAATACAATAAAAGGTCGCAAATTACCTTATTTTTTTTTTATTTTGAAAATTCAATTGATAATTAATTGACAATTACCGTCAAATTTTTTTTAACTTCTTATCACATTCCATTTGTTAAAGCTGTGGCAGAAGAATTGTCTCAACCACAGGGAATCCTTTTTGTTTCTTGAAAATTCCCTCTTCAATCCTTTCGCTGCTCATTTTTCATGGTTAGCAAAACATTTAAGGGAAAGGAAAAGCTGCTTGAAGAGTTTTCCCATGCACGTGAATGACTCTCCAAAAACCGTTTTCTAATTGTCATCCTTTTCTCAGCTTGGAGTGCATTGGAAAACCCAAAAAGTAATGAAGGAAAAATGGGGAGTTTTTTCGGTGTCCTTGTCATTATTTATTATGTTGCTCAAGTCTTTCATTACACAAGCATTTTTCTGTCTTTCATTTGTTGCCTTTGTGTCGAAAACAGCAAAAATAAAGAAATGTAACAAGGAAACGAGGGAGAATTTTCTTATCAACTGGGGACGTTGTCACATTCCTTCACTGCTTATTTACAGTAATTCGGTTGCTTATTTTCTCCGCCATTTTTCTTCTCACCCACACAAAGGCTTACAAAAAAACAAATGCGTGTGGAAAACCGGAAGTATGGCGCCTAAGTGTAGACTTTGAATATAAGAATAATTCCCATCATTAAAAATTTGAGGTTCATTTTGAACTCATTGAGTGCGGCCGAAGTTAACATGTGGTTTTTTAACAAAACTATAATAATGCATTTATAATACTAGACATAATACTAGACATACTTCGATTTAAGAACTAAAATTCCGAAATAACAATTTTAAATCAAATGGCATTGTCTTAACTTGGGATAATCAATTAAACTTTTTAGGTAAACAATCAGTTTATACCTGACATGTTCTATGGCAGACATACGAGTTTGTAGCTTTGTATTTGATTAGTACAGCAACAGATAATCGAAAAAGGAATTTTACTTCGACTTAACATCAGGGTTTGCGGTTACCATAAAAGTAAGAAATGGAAAATAACGTTTTTTTAATGTGTACATTAATTTGCCCCGTAAAGAACTAACTTTTACGGTTCAGCATCATTTGAAGGGATAATTACAGATCAGCAGTGGTCTCCGGCCACCACGATTTCTACATTGTTGTTTCAGTAACCCAAAACTCGCGACTTTTCCCCGGCTCAATCGATAAACAAATGCGGTAAACATCAATGGACAGCGGGAAAGGACCCAGCGGGAAACTCACACAAGAGTGCTTGGGCAAACAACCTCGTTGGATGATGAATGGAAGGTCAATTGCCGTGACCCCGGCAAAAAGCAGGAAAAAAATAAAAGAAAACTGGGGCCAAAAGCAGCGCTGACATTTAACGAAAAACGACGCGAGCCTGTCAATGCCAATGTCCTGGATGAGAAGTCCTGGCTTCAGAGGAAAAGGAGGGAAATGGGGAAAAGACGAAAAGGAGACGCAGCAACTCGAGATCCCGACCAGGAATGTTTATGCGAATGCTTGGGCACAAAAACATACGTGACGTGCCTCTGTCCTCATCCCCATCTTGTTCACATTGACTCCAAGCTCTTCCTCTCTATTCATGTATGTCCCGCACTCGAAAAAAATCTTCACTACATTAGTACATTTAATCCTCAAACACATATCATTTCTCTAAGTATAAATCAATATCCAACATGTTGACAAATCTTTGTGATATAACTCAATATTTTTAATTCTATCTAAAAACCATATGAATAATATTAGCATTTTAATTACTCAAAATGTATTTTTCATTTTTTTATATATATGATACGATGCGTTATTATAAATCCATGTACTTAAAAACTCAGAAAAATTGTTTAAACGATTAGGAAGCAATTGGCAATTGAACTTAAAAACTTGTTTTACAACAATTAAACATATTCTTAATATATATTAAGTATATATGAAATATTATTTTTTTAAAACAAAAAAAAACGTACACAAACCTAACCAAATCGATCTAAAAATTTAAAAATTTATAACAATTAAAGAATTTATACAAAATGTTTTTTAAGTGCGTTAAAATTTCTCGCAGTGCCATTAAGCGGCGGAAGCGATGTGCACCGACTGACAGCTGAAGGAACACGAATAAACGAGAGGTCCTGACGGCGGGAGAA